GTGAAACCTCCCCAACACTTTAACTGTCAATCAGGCTTAATGGGGTATAAAAACTCCCCAGCGCCGCGGCGGTGATAGGCAGAGAGAGCAATAGGGAGAAATGAGTAAGAGCCAGAGCTGAAATAGTGCACGGCGTGATTCCTGCTCCGTGATCACAGATACTCCAAGTGAAAAAAACAGGAGAGGGGGCAGAGAGAGGCGGGTATCAGCTATCAGCTCAACCTTTGCAACCGGTGCAGGACAGAACGTCTAGATATTTATAGATATTACAACAGAAACAACAACCTTGCCCTGAATAGAGCCTTTCTTAAAAAGAAGGTCCTGGCAATTCTGTCTTATTTAAGCAATTTCCTGAGTCTAAGAATAGAAATGAGCTGCCTGGAAGGCACTGCAGGCTGAAATTTGGAGACATAGGCTGCTTTATTTTTCCAAATACAAAAACCTTCCTTTTGGATACTGGATTTTTGTGTCGATCTGTGAAGCAGAGGGATGTATGGTTACTTTTAGTTTTACTTTTTTTCTCTCTCTTTTTTAATTTAAAAAAACTGTCTTCCAGTGAACAAGCAAGGAAAGTGTTTTACCTGCGTGTGACAATCCCAGAGGACACCGATCAAGAAACGGGAGTGACTTGGTCTTCTGTACTACTTTACTCCTGCCCCAGTCTTTTTAGGGGGAGAGAAGGAGTTTTTCCAGTCCAAGAATCTCTTGCCCCAAGTTTTGGAAGTGGATTGAAGACTTGTCACCCATCTGGGGGTGCATGAAGGGTATTGGTTTTCTTTCTCTGTTAACGTGATTTTGTGAAGGATTGGAAGAGAATTTTGCCTCCCTGACTTGCCTGGAACGAGAGGATGATTTGGAAATGGCTGGGCGCTTTGCTGCTTTTCCCCGTGCAGATGGTTTATTTGGTGGTGAAAGCTGCCGTGTGCACGGTGCTGCCGCCCAAGCTCCGAGACCTGTCCGGGGAGAACGTGCTCGTCACCGGAGGGGGCAGAGGCATCGGCCGCCATCTGGCCCGGGAGTTCGCGAAACGGGGAGCCAAAAAGGTGAGCACCGGCGTGAAGGGGGGGGGAGCTCCCACCTGCTGCTCTACCAGGGAGTCCCCGACTCAGAGACTTGAAAGCCTGTTCTCTCACCTCTAGGTGGGATTGATGGGATCACTTGGATATGGTGAGAGGGGAGAAGGGGCACTCGTTTTGCGAAACACTGGCGTGCTGAGCCATTACTTTGACTTTACGTTTCAGAAGTTGCCCACTCCTGCTTCCCTGCACCCTGTCTCACCCCTTCTCATCTAAGAAACTGTGAAGGTGAGAAAGGGGCCCCCTCGTGAATCCTCCGCTGACAAAGGAGAGGTCTCCGCTCCCGCCTGCGTTTCCTGTGGCAGGGAGAGGAGAGCTATGGGATTGCCATGCGTGAAGCTCAGCGCTCGCTTGCGTTTCTGTTTACCAGGCTGCTTCCTGGCAGCGCTGGTTGCTGGGACTGTGTTCGGAGAGGGGGGCAGCGGAGTGCCGGCCCGCGCCTTGCAGGCTGAGCACATCTTTAAGCTCTCCTTAGGCACAGCCAGGCTGCCGCTGCCACGCGTGGCAGCCCGCAGGAGAGGGGCTTGACTCGGAAAGGGGCAAGTGGTGTGTGTGGGAGGGCTCTGGCTCTGGGTCCTAATAATACATCCTCTCGGGAAAGTGGGGAGAAGAGTTCAGTTTCACCCTGATGGTTTTCCATTTGCAAAATTAATTTCTTTTGCTTTCTGAAGTCTTGTGTTTTGCTTTTTGCCAGCCCAGAGCTATTCAAAGGTAAGACGAACGAGAACCCAGCAAGGAAGAAAAGCACAACATGAGTAGGAGCTGTGAGATTGTTTGCACATTTCCTTTAGGGAAGAGGGAAAGGGAGAGAGGCTGAGAGACTGGTCTGTCTGCACAACAGCCTAGAAATGCCAGTATAGGTGGTGTGTCCATTCTCCAGCTCAGGAACTGGTGGTTTACCTTGAAACTTTGTGTTTGCAGCAGTACAGGTGTCTCAATATCTGTGAATCAGGAATACAAAAAATACACACACACCCCCGAAACAAGGCTTGAGATTTCAAGTTTCATCTCTCCCTTTATGGGTAATGAAAGGGAGGAATCATGAAATTAGACAGCTGCATAAATTCTTCTCTGTGTGAGAGAGGTTGAATGAGAGCAAATAGGCAATAAAGAAGAAAAATACAGAATGAGAGGATATTTAAAGAAAAATTTGCATTTGTTTTGGGATAGTGTTTTGTCACTTCCTTACACATGCATTGCAGTTTTCTATGTGTGGTATGGAGCTGTTCTGGCATACAACTTTGAGGTGTAAAATATGTCAGCATTGAACTTTGATGTTTGTATATGCTTGTGTTTAAACATCATGTTGAGATTTACAAATTCTTGGAGGCAGAGCAAACAAGTTGACTGACCTTTGGACCCAAGCAATTTGCTGAAAGTGTATTTATGTTATCTGTTAGGATCCCATGCTTCATTATTTATTTATTTAGTCTGGCTGGTTGCTATGCGGAGCTCTGGGATTAAAGTACAACCATTTCTACAGCTCGTTCAGGAGCTGCGTAGCTGCAGTTCAGCTGGAAGCTGGACAATGGCAGTCAGCCCTAATGAGCCAGGTGACATGGGCCAAAAGGAGAGGGAGCTGTTGGAAATACTGTAAAGAGATACAGACTGTAGTTCATTTGTATGTCTTCTCTGTGAAATCTCTACATATCTTAGAAGGAAGGAATAAATGAGAATATTTGCTGGGAACCTTTGGCTCATATGATATGGTGAAATGCTGTGTTGTTGTTAGTTATTGTTCAGAACTCTGTGGGATTTTGCCTTATCTTTTTTTTCCATGCCTGTCATCGAGGTGTTTCAGTTTCTGCTTTTACTGAGTTTGGATTAGATTCTCCTTTCAGTTGTACCATGGCTATCCAGTAAGTCAAACATGGCACTCAGCAAGTTTTGATCCTCTCTGGTAGTGACACTGCCCTTCTGCCTTTCGTAGTGGCACATTTTCACTGAAGCACTAAAGTAGGCTTATTCTTTTCTTAGGTTTTTAGTGACAATGTTACTTAGATGTGGGAGCTTCCATTCCTTTGCTCTGAGATTTCATTTCTTCCCTGCCTTCTGTGCTCAGCCCTAACTTTGTGGATTTAATGCAGTCTCCATGTAGAATGCCAGACCTCTGTTTGGCACTACTCTTCAATGTTATGCTTTGCTTTAGACAATCAAAAAGAAACAAAAAAGTCTTGCAGTGCCTAGCAAGTCATCTTTCAAGAAGCCTTGTGAAAATTAACTATTCTGTTTTTCTGTTGTGTTCTTACGCAGTTAACTGTTTAACAATGATATGGAAAGCTTGAATTACCGATCGCAAATAATAATTTATAACAGATTCTGATTAGGAGATGGTGTACTCACAATACTTGAAGTTTAGAAAAACACTTCCACCGAAGGCATGGAATTCTGAGGCCCAGCGCAGTGTTGTATAGAGGTGAAGGGAAACAGTAACATATAGATTCAGGTTCTAGGAGTGGGTGTGCAGAGCATCGTGAAAAAGTCATCGCAGCGCTTGCGCACACAGACATAGTGGCGGAGTTTTGGAGGTAGGCGGCGATATATAACCATATTTTTGAGATTAGAATCTTCTAAAAGATAGGTTAGTTGAGATTGTTAGCATGTGAAATTTCCTCTGATAATTAGACTGGATTGGATTTCACCTGACACTCTGTCTCTGTTTTCAGAGGCTGGTTTTGTTAATCACAAACGAGGTGTATCTGAGCAGTTTTCACATAAGATGGCAAGTGGTGTTATCTCACTAAGATTACGAATGGTCACATCTGCAACTTTTTTACTGTAACATTTGATCTTGTATTTAAAGCTATGAAGATGGCAAGAAATAGATAAAACAAGGGTTTATGCAAATGGAAGTACAGTGTCTTTTGCTTGATAGATGAGCATGGAGACTGAAATTCTCAATCCAACAGAACGGAAGTCTCTTGGGCATGATCATGTAAATCCATCCTGATTCCCCTTCTCTACTCCCATTCTTTTAAGTTCATTCCTCTGCCGTTGTGCCTCGAATGTGACTTGGACAGATGAAAGTCTAGGAGACATTTCCTTCTAAGATGGTGTTGCTTTTCTCATGGTTGTTCGTTGGCCTCTCTGATGAAATGGCCAATAAGGGGACAAAGCGGTGGCAGTTGTATTTTCAGTTTCAGAAGTGTGTATCTTCTGGATTTTTACCAGTGATCTTTAGGCAATGGAGAGACTTTAATCATTAGATCATCCCTGTTCAGGTGCATACTAAGAGGTCCAAGGATCCACTCTCCATTTTTACTTTTGTGTTGAAGTTTTCAAAAACTGCTCAGTCATGGGAGGCTCTGTGTATTTAAACGCTTCCTGTAGCACTTCTGGAAAAAAACAAAAGCATATAAATTTGCTGTATGCAGAGAAAGAGTGGTTTACAAATGATACGGGACATGTTAGTGTTATTATGAGGGATGAATAGCATTGAATTTTCTCCGGAAGTGCTCAAGTATTGTAATTCAGCTTTCATGCTGTTCCCCAGAGACGTGTCCAGATTCAGAAGTGCTGGCTGAGGACTTACTTCGCTGCAGCTGAATTGCTGGAGGAACACACTTACTTGCTTTCAATTCCTTCTTGGCTGCTTGCAAAATTCAAAATTTTCACTATTATTGGCTTTAACTCTTGAGAATTTTGACTACACCTTAAAGGTATTTGACCAGTAGGCATCACCTCTGCCTCAGTCTCACACTTTGGTAGCTTTGTTCAGGCTCTTAGCTTTTGATACTCTGTGGTGAGCCAAAATGGCAGAGTGTATCTGTGTTAATGAAACGGGAGAAGGAGAGATTTTTATGAGTTTATGATTTAATGCCTGTGAAATAAAAATCCACTTTCAAAGCCTAATGGTGTTTTGCAAAGAATATACTGTATAATCAAGTTAATATTGGGAAGACTGGCCCCTTTGAACAGTATTTCATGTGTGGAAGAACAGCCCTCTACAGATGTGAGTAGTCGAGGGGATGTAGGGGCTGAATGGGTTCATTCACTGGTGGTTAGAGCTTGGACATGCTTCTGGTTTCTTCTAAGCCATTAGCTTTTCCGACAGAATTTTCTGTTACAGTGCCTTTGCCAGAGAGTTGTCAGACCTGGTTTTGATGATCTCCAGTGATGAAGTTTTCATTCGTATGTCTTTTATATGCCATTTGTATGTCTCGCTCTTTGTTAGGTTTTCTCTTAGGGCATTTCCTTGAAGTTTAAAAATTTTCCTTGTAGTTTTAATTTGCTTTGTTCACGGATTAGTTAATTGAGGTCTGATTGAGCAGGAAAGAGATGCTTGGTTCTTAGGCGTTCTGGATTATTAAATGTCACCAAAACCTAATAAAAGTAACTGAAAAAGATATAGGTTTAGGATAGAAACAGATTCCCTGACTTTAGTATGTATTTTATTATTCAAGGTTATCTGACAGTGACTTTAGAAGAGTTTCTTAGGCCTTTCCTGTTGGAAGACTGGTCAAAAGGCATTGATTTTCATTAGCAGTTTTTTTTTATTTACACTGAGGGCTCTGGACTCAGAAATCAGCAGTATGGATCTTCAGTAGAGTATCTACAAGGGATCTTATACAGCAGTGGTTTTCTGTTGTTTCTTTCTGATCATTTCTGTGATCTCAGTTTCTTTCAAAGTATGTATATTTTGTCCTCCTATGTTTGCTCTTGGGTTTTTTTTTCCCCCTCCAGCTGTCATATGTTTGCCTTTTTGGTAACTGCAGCTATTGATGACTGAACAAGAGGGCTTCTAGGGAATCAGGGGTGTTTTGGCATAAGCGATGTCTCCAAAACACCAGCTAGGTTAGAGGCAGCCCTGGCCTTGCGTTAGCATGATAGCAGTGCAGAGAAGAGCTGGACAATTCCTATTAACCTCGTTGAGAGTTCTTCACATTCATCACTGTGCAAGAAATGACCTCGTAAATACACTGGAAGGTCTCTCCTTTCACTGTTTTGTCCTTTGGCCATTCACTGCC